AAGTAGTTAAGAGTGACAGAGTTCGAGTAATATACAAAATTATAAGGAAAACTTAAAATTAAATCAATTTAGGTCAAAAATTTCTAAATAGTCTGCAGTCTACTCGATGCATTGCAGCTGTTTGAGATGTCTTTCTGATATCAGACTCCAGTTGTTGTCCACTTACATTCGCAACAATTATTCATAGCTGACCGAATGTTGCCAAAAGTGCCGTTATCCAAATGTGTAATTCGAGCATTCAGGCCCACTTACACCCAATCCATCATTCAATTCAAATGCATGCTGATTCCGAAGCGGAACTGATTATTTATGGCAGTCCGAGCTGCTCCGCCTGCTCATTCATCAATAGGTATTTGGCTGTCAATGGCTAAGAACAGTAAATGGCTCGATTGCAGCTAGGAAACAGAGAGCCGCCTCGATTAATGTCAATGGCAACTCGTCTCGATTTAACTGCTCACGCGCCATAAACTCAAAACTTGGCCTGCTCAGCCCCAGTGGGGGCTCACGATTTATGCGTGCAATGCGCAACCCTTTCAAGAAAACAAAACTCAAGCCGAAAAGTTTCATATTACAGCTCCGCAATGAGCAAAGTGTTCCAAATACATTTCACTCACTCGCAGTATTTCGGCTTTTTCAGCTCCCAATCGCACACACACACATACACACACACACACACACGCGTGTGGGTGTAGTCAAAATATAAGGTCAGCTATTTGTGATTTTCAAATTCTGGGGTGTGCTGAGTGGCTGCTGCACACAGTTTCTATGCCCATTCACAAATTTGAGCGAGCATATTGGCTCTCTGACTCAAGCTGAGGTTTTAGAAATTTCCCCTCAGCTGAAAAGTCTCTCACATTCTCGTCGCTTCTCTTATGAGCAGAGTTTTGCCATGGCTATTGTGCATTAGACAGTCAGTCATACCCGTCTGCAAGCTACTCACTTATTTTTAGCTATCGCCGTGGCCCCGAAATTCAATTCACTTTGCTTATTTTCGGCGTGCGAATGCTGCCCTTCTCTCTCTCTCTCTCTCTCACTCACTCTCTGTGTAACCAGCCAGCGAACGAGCGAGCCCAGACCAGACCAGACCAACAACAATAAAAATGTCGAAAACATAGTAAACATTAACGGGAAAACAATTTTCATAAATCTAGAATTATTACCACGAGCCCAAGCGAGTGCCGCACCAACAGAGACTTCGCTTACCACCAGTGTCCATTGGAGCAACAAATTTTGCGCATGAAAGATGCCCGAGAGTCGATTCTATGTCAAAAGTGAAATATAGACGACTAATAGATGCGCTGCCAAAAGCATTTAACACACTATATCAAACTAAGCAGTGAAGAGTAATAAATGTGGAAATTATTTGGGTGAGGTCTACCCTCCTCCCTTATCAATATTTGTTTATCTACCACAATCGCATATCCTTTCTCCTGATTACAAAAGATGTTCACATCTACAATAGAATGAAATGATAGTAGTAGTGAAAGTTTACAGTGATATCGTGGCATCCATATCACTATAAAGATCCTTTTATAAGCTGCATATAATAAGCAGATAAACGCTATCTATAGAATCACTTATATATCTCTAGACTCTACATGTTGTTCAGTTAATTTTCTGCAGATATCAGGAATATTTTCATATGACTTATATCTCTAAGATCCATCCTTTTACAACTACAATTTAATCATATATGCCAGTTGTATATGAATAGTCTTCCGTATGTTAAGGTAAGAAACATTAAATACGTTTCAGATCTAATACTAATTCTTTTCAGGTGTAGTCCCAAAGGCAAGTTAGCTCCACATAGTGTCTTCGATCTTCCGATCCTCGCCCATAAATCAACTTCAATCTTCCACAATTCATGGGAATTCCACCGTCCCATCTGCTATCCAAAGCAACTCTAGAAAGCTATTTCCTTAATATATACTTAATATAACATAGTTTTTTATCCACCGAATGAATGTCCCTTTACTATAAAAACTGCTCAGACTTAATATATTAAGTGTTCTCCATATTTAATTATTTTGATAAGAAAGTACTACGTCTATAGAGTCTTATGAAATCGTTGCCAATTGTCAAGTCTGTGATCCCCCTATGCGAATAACTTTTGCGTCTACAAACAGCTAAAAAGGAAAAAAAAAAAAAAAACATATTTACAACGCATTTAACAAACGATATTTGTTTCATATGCACAAGCTGTTTTGGGGTTGCTTCTAGATAAGTTCGCGGCAAGGGTCGATTCAATATGTATGTATAATTTTTGGAGGATTTGGCAAACATGCTGCCGTTGCTGCTGCTTCTGCTGCTGCTGCTGCTTCTATTGGTGCTGCTGGACTGGGACTAAGCCAGCACATAAGTCACATAAATCACGCTTTGTGCCCGGCTGCAAGGCGATGGGGATGCGCCCCAGTTCGCCGTTCGTCGTCGTCGTCGTCGTCGTCGTTCGCTTTGCACATTGTCTTTTAATTCAATTTTGTGCAATCGGCTTTGGCTTCTTTGAAGTCCACTCAAATTTCAATAATTCCCTTTGCAACTAATATTCAAACAAATTAAAAAGGGAAATAAAGGGGCGAAGCATGAAGGCAAGTGGAAATCATAGAGCCGGCGCCCAGAGTGTCGATTGGCTAAAGACATCAGCAGTCGCTGGAAAAGTCGGAAAGAGTCTTTTGTCAGTCCACAGCAGCCGAGTGAATGCCACTTGAAAGTTTGAGTGCTTATAGACACACTTTTGAATGACTTATCAAAATCTTAAGCTGTCAACAATGCCAGACACAAAGCACGCAAACACACACACACATACATGCAAGACTACGGTGAAATTTGTTAGAGCAAAAGTGTGAAAAAATAAATATTTATATATAAATTTTTTTTCCAGGCGAGGATTAAATGTACTCAAGCCTGTGTGTGGCTTCAGCACGTATGCTCAAGTGATAAAAGTACGGTAGCTCAAACTAAAAACAGATGAACAGATACTTGAGAGCTTTGTTGCTTCCAAACAGGATTGCCAAGGCGTAAACCAATGCCTTGACAATGAAAGGAGTGAGCGAGCTGGAAAATCTTAACCTAAATTTAGAGACTGTAGCAATTAAAACATTCGATTACATGCCCAAAAGAAACTTGGAATATCGATAATTATCGATGTTTTATGGAAACAAATTTTGTTTTTTTTTTTTTTTTTTTTTTTAAAGCTACCCATATATACAATTCCCTAGCTCTTCGAGGATGGCCAGACGTATCGACAGACGGAAGAACACATAGACAGAAGCATCGAAAGATGGACGGACGGACATACGGGCTGATGAACGAAAAGACGAGCAAACGGATCGACAGAGGGACATAAAGACGAACAGATGAGAGAGTTGACAGAAGAACGGAATAACAGACAGACGGAAGGATGCACAGAATGACGAACGGATAGCTAGGTTAGCGGAAGAATGGCTAAACAGACTAGATTACCAATAATAATATAGATACTCAATCTCCCTCAAACTCTCACTTATTTATCAGTTAAAATGAATTTGTCCTGATCCCTAGTATGCATCGGGGCATACCAATGCCTGGCCTTATTCTTGTATTTCTCACACATGCACGATCCGTTCAACTCGCCCACTCCCAGCACCCGTTAAAGTAATTCAACTCAATCGAGAGACAGTTTGAAAATAAGCCCTGCACAGCTCCACACATGCCCTTAAACAGAGCATTCATCAAATTAGACCCATTCACACTGTCAGCTGTCTGGTTGACGGTGCTGCAGTTGACAAATCTTTCATCTCAGCTCATCTGCCAGCCGCACTACATAGCACAAATGCTTCCGGATTTGCATATGCAAATCAGCGTCTTTTGTAGTTCATTAATTTTGAACTTTCCGCAAAGTAGCCCTTCACCTGCACGTGTGCCAAGCGATTCAATCCGCCTCCATTATCCATCCATTTAGGCTTATGTGAGGAGAAAAATCACACAGCTCCTGGCGGTTTGTTCACAATGTGTTTTGCAATCAACTAAACAAACAAGTGCGAATGTTTCTGGCACGTATTAACAATATACAATACATGTGGGAGCATGACATTTTTTCATGCCGTTCTACCTCGCTAATTTTCAGCATTGTTATGCATATCTGAAATCGACAGGGAAGCAGGTATAGGAAGTGGTATGGGTGCCCATATGAGACATGTATGTATGGGATATGGTATTATCTACAAAGAATAGTGAACTGTCATAGGCCTTTCTAAGCGAAAGTGGGAACAAAATAAATGAATTAATATTCAAAGTGATGAGAGTGGCGTGAGTACTTAAATCTAAACATGTAAGAATACACTTTGATAGTAAGATTATAATAAATGTTGAAAACTGAAATATACATTTATCTAAAAATATTTGTTATAGATCCTAAGATTTATAATATAATCTAGGCAGGAAAAGTTATCGATGATCTCAAACTTGACAGCGCCCTGAAACATTCCCAGCTCAACCATTTCATACACATAGTCAGAGAAATAACAGCATGGAATCCGCCCAATCATTCCGGACAAACCTATTGATATATGTACGATCAGAAGAACAGGTTGAGTGAAGGAAGATACTTGGTTGAACGGATAAAGAGACATATAAACATAGTAACTGACAAAAAGAAAGGAATGGAGGCATGAAAGAACGAAGAGGCAAGTTAGAACGGGCGGATTGATAGATGAACAAAGTAACGAGCCTATAAAAGGGAAAGTAGGGAATGATGGATGGATAGACAGCCGGACAAGCAAATATACGATTCGCTTCATAGATAGATGGATGGACAGACAAAGTTAGGAATGGAGGCATGGCCGGATGAATGAGTAGACATATGATCGACAGAAGCAAAACGAGAGTACAGTACAGTACACCCCTACAGTACAGTAGTAGATAGACAGTGAATATACTATATCAACTCTCTCTCTCTCTCTCTCTCCCCTTTGTCGGCTAAAGTTTAAAGAACTCTTATATAGTAGCAGGCTAGCTGAAATACCTCAATGGAAAAGTTATTTGAAATCGATGTCAAATTCAAAATTGTTGGGATACAAGCCCGAGGCAGTATTATGAGAGTGACATGCAAATCAATTCTACGGAAATGGACGAATCAACGTGGCAGCAATTGGCGAGTAGCGAAAGAACGTCTCCATGCCCTCAAGTTTTATATGCTACTAATTACAGCCGATTGCCTGAATTGGCCTAGAAGCCTCATAGAGGCAAGCAGCGATGCGGGCAACCGCCAAGAGGAGCCACTGCCAAGGAGGAGGGGCAAGAGGGCGAACATGCTTTTACAGAATTGGAAAAGCTTGCTATCGCTGAGTGCAGAGGCTAGTCACGACTCAAGCCATTTCCGTTTCCGGTCTCTGACAATACGGGACTACGAGAATCAGCTGCGATCGCACTCGACGCACAAGAAGATATTTTGCTACTTTGCCACAATCAAGGTGAGGAGTGACGCCGGCAAATGGATTGTCTATATGACGCCCAAGGACTTTGTGCGCTCGATGTCGCCCAGCTGGATGCAGCCGGAAGGCTTGGGCCTCAACAACTTCTTCAAAATGCATAAGGACTCTATGCAGAAGCTCGTTATCCGGGGCGTATCCAGGGACAGCATATTCTACAAGCTGCGGCCCGATGGCATGCTCACGTACTCGGACTTCCTGTACCTGCTGCAGCTGGTGGTGCTGTCCGAACGGTATTTCGAGATGGGCTTCGAGTTGCTCGACAGCGAGGGCAAGCAGATGCTCGACAAGAACGATATGAGCCTCCTGCTGTTTGGCGCTTCGGACGGCCGCATGAAGATCAAAACTTCTGCGAAGCGTTATTTGTTCGGTCCCGATCTCGACCAGAAGCTGAGCCTGGACAGCCTTCTCAGGTTCAAGCGGCAGCTGTTCCACGACATCATTCAGATCGAGTTCAATACGCTGAAACGGAAGCCGAGGAAAACGCAAGGCGAAATGACAGATGAATCGGCGAGCAGGATAAGCGAGATGCGCTTCGCCAACTTGTTGCTCGCATACGCCAGGATTCCCGGACATCGGAAGAAGGAGATACTGCAGCGCACCTATGCGAGGTACAAGGACAACCGGCGTGGGGTCACGCTCGAGGAGTTCATGTCCTTCTTCAAGTTCATTCAGCACCTGCCGGTCATTCAGACGGCACTCAGCTACCACATCCTAGCCGGCGCGGGCGTCTCCCGCAGGACATTCAAGCACATTTCGGATGTCATCGTGGGAGTGCCTCTCTCCGCGCACATCATCGATATCATTTTCACCGTGTTCGTCGATGAGCTGACCGGCTTCTTGAACTGCACCGACTTCATCGATATGGCGCGACAGCGCATCTCCCGCTGCACAAGGAAGTCCTTTAAGCTGGCGCGAGTGTTCAAGCATATCTACAGGTGTGCAGAGAAAACGTTATTCAGGTACTCCCAGTCCTAGAAATACCGTTGATGCAAGCCGAAATGCAATTTGCGCTCAAAACTCTCAAAGCCGAGGCAGCCGCAGACAATGTAAAGTGCGCTCTCTTTCTCTCCCTTTCTCTCCCTTTCTCTCCCTTTCTCTGTCTGTCTCTCTGATTCGATGCACTTTGCGAGCTGTTCACTTAACTCCTTTGAGTACAAACGCTTTTAGCTGAAAGAAATCTCAGCTGAAAGCCACTAACCGCAATGGAAGGAGACTTAGCCACGCCTCCTACCTACTCCCACATACATGTTTCCATTTAAGACAGAGGAGAATGTAATTTGCTTTGCTTTCAGCGCTGCAAACCAAAGCAAACTTTTCCAAATCTTGCAAATTCACGTTGTCTCAGCACTTGAAATTATATGAGTATGTCGGAAACAATATTTGTATATACAATATGTTCGGTTCTATTAGAGACATAAGCAAAGCCAATCAGTCTTAATATGCCATATATATTACTTAATGAAAATTTCTTGATTCTGTGTTTAAGTGCAAAGCAGCAAAGTCGAGAAAATATAGTGGAAGGTGCTTGAATTTATATGCATATATAAACGAGGTACGTTCCACAATAATCGAGATTGGGCTAAAATAAAAACGACAGAACCTTTGTGCTGTGACACTTCTGTTTATTTCTTTCAAATATTCCGTTGCCGCCTCGATATACTACGAAACAGTGTTTTGGTTTGTTGCGCGTCCTTGAATGTCCTTCAGGATGTCCATGGATGGCCTCGACGGACGCAAAATCTTTTCCTTTTATCGCCAAATGCAATTTTTACGAATAGCAGGAGTCATACGGCGCCATATCGAGTATCATTTACATAGATCCTTCATCGAGTACACGAGCTGAATCGGTAAGGATGTGTTGAGCTGTTTACCTGATCGTTTGCCTATCCTTTTAAGCGATATCTCTCTTCTCTGTGAAAACGGACATTATGAATAGGGTTTTATGTTAATATTAGAAGACTTTAAGTGATAGAGTCATTGAATTCGCTGTTTAAGTTTTTGTCATGAATAGCTTGTCTACAGCCCTGCATTTACTCCAAAATACACGTAGTTTTCGTAGTGGAGGCTTAATATTTAGTACACTGACACTTTCCCATATCATCATTCAGCTCTGAAAATGCCACTCGGATCGTTCATCTAGGACCCAAGGTCTCTTAGCTCAGAGACCGGCACACACAATAGCACAGTTAGCTCTGCACTTACATACGCTTGTGTGTGTGTATATGTATGTATTTATAGAAAATGCCTAGCATGACTGTGAGTTTAGCTCCGTACTGAGCTCAGAATATCTGACAGTCGTGAAGCTCCTCCTCCTCTCACTTTTTCTCTCACTTGTCTCACTTACATTCGAGTTTAGTTCTTCGCAAGCCGAAACTTTTAACCGCCCTGAAAAAAGCCACAAAATAAAATAAAATAAAATGAAATAAAAGGSAACGAATTGAAAATCAATTAAAAGCGCAATGCAATAAACAAAATCTCCCAGCCATGAGCAGAGAAATGTTTTTCTGTCTGCGTTTGGCTTCGGGTTTAAAGACAAATGATAGAAGACGAAATTCTTGCTGGACAGCATTTCTATTTTATTCTTGTTATGCTAAATAAATGTGAGCCGAAAATATGTATTCAGTAAACTGCATAAAGTGCTCAATGGGATCTCCCCACAGGCAAAATAAATAGAAATTTACCAATTTAGTGAATGAGGTAAACAGCAGTTGGGTAAGTCCTTGACATATGTAAAGTAGAATACATTTTGAGCTGGACCAGGCGAGCTGTGAGCCTATTTACGGAAGACAATTTCCGAATATTTACTGTGCTCTTAATATACTGAAAATGTGTGGAACTCAAGTTCCCAAATATATTTATCTAAATACTAAATATATTTTAATAAATATTGAATCAAAGTCTATAGCAGGTGAATAGCCGAAATATAAAGAGACCAAGCTAGAGTGATATTATTTGCAATAATATTTCAGCAGATGCTTAACCATATCTATAAGCTTAGAGTGGTAAAATAATATGATTTGCCATTTGATGATTCATTATTATGTATTTTTGATATATTGTATATTATATACATATACCGTAGACGAGTTTTCTGACCAGAAAGCTTGACTTCCGAGATGGTTTACACTTTGATTTTGAATCTTACGTATTTCACCTGGCAATTCCTAAGCAATTGTTGCCCTATATACTATAGGCTATAGAAACGACGTTATCCCAGAACTTGTTAAGAACGAAGAAACAGACGAAAGTCAGTAAGCTAACCAGGGCAGTCGGAATTTGAGACTGAATAGCCTTTGACGATGTTATATACAGCAAACGCTTATATAATTTCTCGATAACTTGCCCTCTGTCTCTCTCTCTCTCTCTCTCTTTATCTGTCTGTCTTTCTCTCTCTCTCTCTCTCTCACCCTCTCTATATCTCTCTGCCTGTCTCTCTCTCTCTCCCTCTCTCTCTCTTCCTCTCTATCTCTCTCTGTCTGTCTCTCTCTCTCTCTCCCTCTCTCTCTTTTTGAAGTTATTGGGGCTTGCTACAAACAAGCATCGTATAATTGCGAAGAAACGGAAGAAACAACACCTTCTCATAGTGAAGCTCACGTCTAACCGTTGTACATGTGTATATGTGTATATATGTGACTTCAAGTATATAAGAAGAATAAGTAGAATGATTAGAATATCAGCTCTATGCAGGATTCACAGTATCGCATAGTCGAGCATTATCTATCGACTAGACTCTTACCTGTCCCAAGTTCTATTTGTAAATATGAAAAACTAAATTTTTGATTACAATTTAGAGCTACAATTAGAACTATTTCGTGTTCAATCAACTTTTAGGCCATGAATGAATGGACGCTCCATGCGGCTTACCTGCATATGAAATGTTCACCTGTTCACATATTTCGTCTGCTCTGCTCGGTCAGAGCAATAAAGATGCAATTCGAGTGTGAAAAGTGCAGCAAATTTATGCACACAATTGTTGGCCGAGAGGAGAAGAAGAAGCAGCGCCAGAGGAGTACACATACGTAGGCTGTTTAAGCCATTTTTTGTGTTAGATATTCAAGTTTTATAAATTATGAAATTTTATGGCTTTTGAGGGCAGAGCAAAATATTATTTCTCACACGTCTATGGCGAAGCATATTTTCGTGCATTTGCGCAGTTTGTATGGCTACGCTTGCCACGCCTACTGGCCAAAGCCGAGACTTAGGTTGGTCTGCACTTAAACATAATTTACATGAATTTGGGTTGCCCGAAAATGTTCAGCTATCAAGGTTGAAAGTTGGCCAGAACCAGAGCCAGAGCCAGAGTCAGAGTAGGGCAGGAGCATGAGCAGGAGCACGAGCAGGAGCAGGAGTCGTTGGTAGAGCGCTTATCTGAGTTATGAATATGCAGGTGCTTATCGCGTGTCTGTGTGTGCGAGTGTGTGTGTGTCTGAGTGTGTGTAAGTGAACATAAGTGCGCTAGCCAAGCGAAGTTTGCACAAGATTTAAACACCTGCAAATTTTATTTATCATTTAAGTATTTTTGGGGCTGTTAGCCAAGGCAAAAGCGCAACTGTTTGGCTTAAACGCTAGCTAAAAAGTGCTTAAAGAGAGCCTGCTTTGGCCTGATGGAGACAAATGAGCCCAGGTCGAGCTCCTCATGCAGCCAACTCATATGACCCCAATTAAGAATGTCAAGTAGAGACCTGCGCGTCGTCTAAGCCTTCTTATCAATTTCGAGGCCAACAAATCCTACATTGATTCCCATTATCTGAGCCGTTTGTTGCCCCTAATGCAAGATAATAAAAAGCGGAAGTATCTGCTCTCTCTGCTCTCAACTCAATTACCAGCTTAAACTTTGTCGAGCATGAAAATATACACATATATAAATATATAGATATGTATGTATGTGTTGTGACCTCTTTTATTGAGTTTCATAAAACGTGCCTCAAATTTCAAGTGACAATCAAAAGGGCAGCACACTCTCTCTCTCTCTTTCTCAGTAAACTCATAAGCAATAAATATTTAGTACAAATATCGTTATGATGTAACCATAAAGAGTAATTGATAGCACTGTACAACAGAAATGTAACATTTTGTTTTGCACGGAAATATGAACTGATTCTTAATCGGGTTTTCTCTTTTAGACCTTTCAAAACTTAAACTAAACAATTTTTTTTTTGGTCTTCTTAAATAAATATTATATGTAATTGAACAGCTACTGTTAAATGACTGTTGTACGATTTTTATACGACTAATATGCAATAATTGAAAGTGCTGGATTTCAATTTACTTAAATTGCTTTCAGATTCGACAACTACAATCATATGAATCAACTCTCAACTCTTGCTGCCTAGTGTAATTCGAATAATTTAAAATGTTTTTGTTGATAATAAAATTTATATATATATATTTATATATACACATATTTAAATACTCTGCATATTTAATAAGCCGTCTAGTAAGCATGAGCAAAAAATATGTTTAATGCATATTAATTCCGCTTTATAATTAATTTACTTATTGCATTATGCAAATTAATCAAATGTAAATAATCAAATTAATAAATCGATTGATTTAATGAGCTAAATAGTAAAAATAAAATATATTTATATACAAAACATAATTGCAGCACTGATTGATCTGAATGTGAATATAAAAAGTATATACTCTACGTATGATACATGTATTTCATGTTAAGGCATTTGCTATCTTTCATACGGTGCTTTTCTTATATGGCAGCCGATTGCTTCTCTTCGTCCAATGACAATCAGAACAAGCATGTCCGAATAGCCTAAGAGGCCATCTCGCTCGCACTCAGCAAGAATAAGGCCTGCGTTCAGCAACAACTATCTTTGTCTCTTTCTCACACACGTGCAGCTAAGACGCAAACTCACTTGGATGACATTTTTACATCAACTCTATGCAAGCTCACCAATACTTTTGCAATATTAAGAGCCAATCATAAATTGGGACACATGCAAAACAAACTGTGTTATTGATCTCACAGTATCACTTGATAATTACCACAGATACTACCTATACTATAAATAAAATAAATAAAATATATTTATTACCTCTGAATACTTATATATTATACATATATGTATATATGTCTGTTTATTTATTTATAGATATAAATCATCATTGTCAACGTATGCTGAATTTTTCGATGCATGTTGGCAATTTTTGAAATAATTAAAAATGCATTTTTAATTATAGATTTTTCGCTCACGCGCAAGTCGAAATGAATTTGTGGCCAGGCAAATAATTGAGCAAATTTATTAAATGAAATGGAAAATATATTATTTCCGCAGAAAAATCGCACGCAATATATTGTCAAACATATATATTTGACAATAATTGTGATTGAGGCACTCGAAACGCCGTTGACTTTCCGACTCGAATCCGAAATTCGAAATTCGAAATTTATCTCAAATGAACCGCAGTTCTTGATGCAATTAAATAAATTCGTTCCACAAACAAACCAAAGCTTGATACAATTTTAATGAAGCCAAGCGAATTACAAACCAATATA